ACACAGACTGTGAGACACACAGTCTGTGTGTATCTCTCTCAACAACAACAACGGAGGAGGAGGAAAAGAGAGAGATACACACAGACTGTGAGTCTCACAGTCTGTGTGTATCTCTCTCAACAACAACAACGGAGGAGGAGGAAAAGAGAGAGATACACACAGACTGTGAGTAGGTTCCTTTTGCCAATATTTGGGGGCAATTCAAATAAGGCAGCTAGACTCTGCAAAGGTTGCAATATCGATGTGAGCATGTCGACTTTTAATGCAAGTACAGCGTATGCAGTTTCAGCTACGGATGGACATTTCTCAGGTGTCTTTCTCTGGTCAGCGTATAGTCCAAGGGAATTTCCCAAAGCGCTTACACTGCTTTGGGTATTTTGTTTACTACTGCTTCCAGCCTTTGTGTGAAGTACCTTAATTCGTTGTCTCAGATTTTGAACTAAATTGGAAGCATCCTGGACCATAATACCTTCTTTCCTCATCGAGCGTGTCCTTACTGTAGACATGATAATGAAACCGAAGTAAGATACACGGAACCAAAATCAGAGGAGCTAAGACAATGGGTGCTAACTTCTGATCCCTAACTAAAAATCCACGTCTAATATAATGCTTGTAAAAAATGGCAGCAACCGGAAATTGTGCGATTTAATTAGAAACAAAAAGAACGCACCGCAGTGAACTATTCGTATCTTGGCCTCCGAGTTGCACACGCTGTTGCTTTGGAAACGCCTCGGACAAGATACGATGATAACAGGCTCTGGTTTTACCTTACGACACGGATAGCCTGCAGTGGACACAATCGCACTATTTCCCTGCTAACTTAAAAAGTTGCTTACTCTATCTACATCATTTTCTTTGTGTCATCCACATTCCATATCCCACATATAATTCGTGTTTGGGTACCATTTCATTCAAGAATGATTAACTACTGACTTGATGAAATGTGGTATCCTTATTGCACATGCCTAGAACGGATGAGCCACAGATAACCGAACTTTATTAGGCTTATGTAACTCGGTTGTATTTTACAATGACTTCACATGTTGCCCATTACAATATTGTACTCATCATGACATGTGATATGCTATTCTTGCTACCTTCTCAATCGGAGTCTAGTATGGTTACATACCGAGAAACTGAGCTACAGCATCTTCCACTTCGTATTATTATTACGCGATCCACATCACTATGTAAGCTCCATGGTATTACTCACCATAACCGTAGCTTGATCAGCTGCTCAATGCTAACTGCCATGATGCTTAGAGAGCCGGTGCATCGCAGAATAATGGTTCAGCCCATCCATGAGCACATTCGTAATTGACGTGCGCACGGTGTTTGTGAGCGATTTGTGTACTTGATGCGGATCAATGCTAAGGTGGAAAAATGTTGTGTATGTTTCCAGTTCGATGGATACGTTTGAATCAGAAAGTTATTATCGCTTGGCCGCTTACCATACGCATAAAGTGTCAAGTTTGACATTTGGAACATAATGCTCAACGATTGTCCCTCCTGTGACCACATTGAATTATGCATTCGAAGAGAAATTTCTCTGGAAATTCTGTGGCAAGTGAACAATCCCGACAATTAACCGACTAGCGATTATCACGATGTCGACATTTCATGTGCCACACCGCAGGCTATTGATGAGAGTGAGCATAGTTATAAGTCTAGTTGTCCATCAGCCATACTGCTTTTATTGGGGCCTATGAAAACACACGTACTAACCCGATGGAAGGTAGACGTGCTGAGACGCCTACCAGAAGTTGCATTGCACATGCCAATCTTTCGGATAGACTAAGTAAAAGCTTGAACCTAACGGGAATGGTGCGTCAATGTGTTAGTATATCACATCGGAAAGGAATCGGAGGATATCGACAATCGCTTTATGAGCACCGAATGGCTGCACCCGAGATGTACGATATAGATCGTTAACAAATAGCTTATGGCCACAGTAGAGTACACATCGGTAGGTACAAACGGTTGAGCACTTGGACATTTGTACAAAAAATGTGAACACTGTTTGGAAAGTCACATGTTGACAGTGGGCAGCGGGACTTAGTTGATGTCACCTGTCAATTCCAAAGGTCGCGTATCATTCGTTTTTTGAGTAGGTGCACATACCTCGGGCAGCAGATGACCGAACCGGTCGGAGACACAGAGAGCCAGAAGTGAGCACTGCATCGCGTTCGCATGCTGTGTGATCTCCCCCATCAGCTACTCAAATCAGACTGTACATGTGGAGGGCAACACCTAAATGCACACTATTTCACTGTAACAGTAGTTTATTTATCATTCTACCCAACGGTTTCTTCACTATTGCTATATCGGTTTCCTTCAAATGCGGATGCCCAAGATTTAAAGCTGTCACGTCTAACTGTTGAAGAAAACGTCAACAGTTCGTAGTG